TATCTCGAAAATATTCTAAAAGATATTGTTAAATTAGAGTTATAAGGAAAATAGGAAATTCACGGAAAATAAAAATTATGCCCGGATGTTGGGCGTGGGGGCGCCTAGGAATGGCGCGGGGGCGCTACTACCGCGGGTTAAACTTTGGCTTCCAGGTTCAACTTTCAGTATTTTGGTCATATCTTCCTCTTCCGATATTCAATTGAGGTGATTCAAAAGACGTTGGAAAGATTACTTCGATGGATACAAATCTTCTAGAAATATAAAACTTCAAATTCGACCGTTTACCATGTCAAAAATAGGTCTCAATATGAAACTGAAAACCAGTGAATAACTTTCATGTTGATCCAATTGATTTCCGACCTCGCCCCCTTCACCAAACTTGTTCCTTGGCATGTTAACTTTGATATTATGGACTCCTTTGCTCAAACATGTAAATGTATAGCTTTTATCATCTCTTTGAAGTCTCGGACTTGGCTCAAATCTCTCTCCAACATCCTCGAATTCTTGATAAACTGTGGCGTACCCCAAATCATATCAATACCCATTGCATTATTTAATTGATTGACCACCAATTAGATAATTAATTACTTTTTATAGTGTTGGAAGACTCACAATAAGTTTAGAACGTCGTAAAATTAACAAGTGCAATAGATGTTACAAATAACATTTTATCACATATGAAATCATGTAGATAAGCTAAATTTTAATGCATTCTAATCATTCGAATTCGGGCTAGAAATAGATTTGGATCGTGGTTGGGATATATTTAATTTGTCTTGAAAAAAAATTATATATCATTGTTTTATCGATTGTCAAGAACGTATGAGCGAAATAGATTACATATCAAAAATTGAATTAAATAGCAATAGGTGGATTCGAGATCCAATATAATAGTTCATAATTAGATAAGAAAAACCCTAATTTTATCGCTTTCTTAGATTAATTTAGAATAATTACAAAATCAAAATCTCTTTTATTTACATAATTCGAATTCCATACTAAACTAATAAACTTGAATTGAATTTATTCCATGTGGGACGATACTCTTAACTCATCAATTCTATTACTTATCAACAATTCTGTATGCTTGCGGGTTTCACACGAACAATGGTGGTGGTGGTGGTGTTCATGATTAAGTGGTGGTAGGTGGTGTTGTAGTGGGTAAGGTGGGTTGCGGTGTTTTTGACCAATTATTTTAGTGTTGTGATAAATAAATTGTTAATTTGTGATCAATAAATAATATGTACATTGAAGAATGCATGATTATGACTAAATTGATAATTGTGATCGGTTAATTTAATAATTTGAAATCATTAAATAAGTTGTGACCTATAAAATTTATGATTTGTAACAGATAAATGAGTTGTGACATATAAAAAAATTGATTTTGTGATCAATGAATAAATTGTGATCTATAAATTTTTTTAATTGAAATCGATATAGGGGTTGTGGCTATGGTTGTGGAGTGGTAGGCTAGTGGTGGTGGTCTTGGTTGCGGTGTTTTTGATGACGGTTTTGTTGCAGGGAGATGGTGGCAGTGGTTTCAGCGACAGTACGACTAAATGCACCAGTGAGGTGGTGGTTACAAGTATTGGTGGTGGTTACAAATGACTTGATTGTTTATGACCAATAAATTGGTTAATGTGTGACCAATTAACAATGTGACCAATCATATAAATAAATTGTGACAAATTAAATAATGTGTGACCTAAAAATATGTTAATTTGTGACCTAAACATAATTTGTACCGAATTAATTTGATATTTTGTGACAATGAAATTAGTTATAACTTATAAAATTTGTGATTGACGATCAAGGAATAATATATGATCTATTAATTTGATAAATTTGTGATATATAAATTTTTTAATTGTGATCGGGAAATTTTTGTAATCAATTAATTCGATAATTTGTAACCAAATTGTATAGAATTGTGACATTATAAAATATATTTTTAATTAATTATTTTAAAAATAAAATTTAATAAATATCTGATTTTTGAAATTTTAAACATTTTATCTTATGAGTTATGGTTAAACTCTTACTTATGAATTTTTCCTATAAACAAATATGTGCTCAACAAATATCTGATTTTTTGAAATTTTAAGCATTTTATCTTAATTTTAAAATGAGTTATGGTTAGACTCTCACTTATGAATTTTTCCTATAAACAAATATGTGCTCAACAAATCAATAGTAGCTTATGTCTCAATGATTAATTGCTTATAATTTTCAAATGGGCCAATAGCCAATTACTCATAAATTACAAAATGGCCCAATTAATTAAAAGTCATGCCCAAAGAAAATATGCTTATTATGCATAATGCTTATCATTTAAAGCTCAATAAAAATGCTTATCATTAAATGGCCTCATTCTTTGGAAATGACTGAAGAAAACTTATACGGTCATCTTCAACCTCTAGTGAGTTGAAATCGACCCGTCTCCAGACCCGCTCAACTCAACCTTCCTCCGCACAAATCTTAAGTTTAAAATCACACAGAAACTAGAAAAGTGATTTTATAGAAAAACCTGAATTTATTTTCCCAAAAAAAAAAAAATCGACTGGAGAAGACAGAGTTTCGCAAGTTACAGGTAGAATACCAAGGCAAAAGTAATTTGCTACTCTGATACCAAATGTAAGACTAAATATCGATCTAAAACAATTATGTGAAAACAAATTATATCGAAAAAAATTGAAAACTTATGGATCGAGTTCATACTTCCAACCAATGACGTTGTTTCAGAAATTGATGGTGTATAATGTATTTTCGGTGTGGAGCTTATGACCAAATCCATCTATATATATAGCCAAAAACCCCCATCAAATTATGGCTGTTGTTACTTTCCAATGATGCTACCAAAAATCGTACATGTTGATTTCCGAGTTTGACGACTAAGAATGAGCACGAACGAAGTCTTCCGGTACCTGAAACAAAGGCGTCGATGTGTGTTCTCGTTACCCTTCTGATGCTTAAGTCAGAGAGAGAATTTGCGAAAAGATATGTGCTGAAAATTATGTAAAAACGTATCTTGATAATAAATGGGAATGATTTATTTATAGAGGTAGGTGGTGCACTCCTATTAGGATTACAATGTTGAAATCCCTAGGAGTCCTAATATAATAGGAAATTGCCACTCAATTGATTTTGTATTACCCATGTGTTTGGTTAAAGAAGGGATTCTAGTGTTAGAATCTTCTTAGGATGAGGTAACACATTTTCAGAAGGACTTTGCTTCCTAGGGATTCTTGAAATGAAGTAGACTTCTAACGAGCTAGGGATTGCACGGTTCAGGGTTTCGGTTGTAAACTCGAGAAAAAGATGTTGGGTCATTAAGAATAATGTTATTTGCAGTCGCCCTATGTAGCACACACATGTCATGTAGGGCGATTGCTGCAGTGAGCGACTATGAATAGCATTAATCGGTCATTAATGCCCGAGCTCGAGGACACTTAACCCGACGAGATCATGAGAATGGGCTCAAATGGGACCATTCTTCCTCGAGTTGGGTGCTCGGTCTGGTTATTTAAAATTGGTATTATCACCAATCAATGGTGAAATGAAACCCCATGAATACTGTTGATAAATGTTGAAAACTGAAACTATGAATGTTGACCATCAATTGCCCGTTGAAGAAACGGGAATGAATGGATCGATTACAATTGAGGGTTGTAAATTATTGATTGATGCTTCGTCGAAGAGTGGAGATTGGAGGAATGAAAAACTGTCATCAGACCATTGACCTTCTTTTTTGACATTTTTACAGAGTTCTATCATTACTTTCTTCTTCAAATCCGAGGCAGAACGACAAAATTCATATGTGAAAGAATGATAGAACGCAAGAATTTCATGTTGTTGAGGATGACGGAAAGGCCACCGACAATTATACTCGCGTGGAAAATAGTTAAATTAGATACATTTTGCATCCTGCTAAGCCAAACCCCGATGAGTTTCTTAAGGCTGTTGATGCAAGTAAAGGAATGGAGATTTAACGTAAGCTCGAAAAGGAATCGAATGGGGGAAAGGGGCAGTTGATGAACTGGAGAGTGTTGAGAGTGGAGAGGGATTAGTGGGCAGTGAGGGATAAAGCTACATCATCTGAATAGTTGGAGAGTGTAAGAGAGAGGTGGTGTGGAAAAGGCTTGGAGGAGTCATAGGCGGCGGCGACGACGATAGAGGTGTGGGATGGAGCGGAGCAGGGGTCTTTGAAGGTTGGGATATTTAGAGACTGGAGTGCTCTAAGTTGCTTTGGGTCAATGGTAGATGTGGAAGTGGTAACAAGGGTGATGATGTTTTTGGAGTTGGGGTGAAAGAATGAATGGGGATAAAAGGAGGGCTGGAGGTAGAGAGGGAATAGCTATTGTTGTAACCCTTTTTACTGAAAAATGGTGTTGGAATTTAAGAAGCGGCAGCGACGATGGTGGCGGTGAATGGTGGTGGTGGGAGAGAAATGAAGAAGAGGAAGTGATTTTTTGTTTCTTTTGATTTTTAATTATTTATTTGGATTTCATTTGTAATTTTTTGAAAAATTTGGAATGATGATTGCAATTAAACTAATTAGTTCTTTATTTTTTATTTAAAATTTTTTTTAAGTGGGAGGGTATATTCGTCGTTTCACAGCTTTTATTGAGAAAATGGACGGTAACGAGCATTCCTCACGAAACGTCTCAATTAGGAACATTTTGTATTATTTTTAAAAGGTTTTGAGAGTTTATCGCAGCATGTCCAATAGATAGAGGGTTTTTGTGCTGTTAAACCATTAATTTATTAAAATTTCGCTGAAAGTTCACTGTCGGGCGATGAAATTTACACTGGCCAAACACGTTGACTATGGTCGGAAATATAATAACGTCAATGTCGATGTCCTCCCCAGCAAACGCTGGGCTCCATATTCCCTCAAGTCCCTGTCCTTTACTGGTACAATACACCCACCCTCCAAAAGCCACAAACAGAACTAAAAAAAATCCACCACTACAAAAACCAACGCCGCCGCGGCGATGTCATCCCCCTCCCCCTCCACCGCCATGACCCGCCTCTTCAACCACCATGCCTACTGGTGTCACGCATGTGACATGAGCATCGGCCTTCCTCCTTCCCCCACTCCAAATGCCCTCCTCTGCCCCCATTGCCACCACGATTCCCTTGAACAAATGGACTCTTTTGCCGCTTCCCCCATCATTGACTCCCCTACCCACCCCATTTTAACAGCCCCAGATGATAACTTCCTCCTCACCAGTCCCTACCTACACCGCCTCATCCACCACACCGCACCCACCGCCAATTCCCACTCAAACTCTGCCCCTAAATGCGCCATAGACTCTCTTCAACAAATTACCATCACCCAAGAATTGCTCGATGATGACCCAAATATGTTGTGCCCGATTTGTAAGGACCCGTTTCACATAAATGATTCGGTGAAATTGATGCCCTGTAAGCATACCTATCACGCGGATTGTATCGTTCCGTGGCTCGAGATTAATAATTCTTGCCCGGTTTGCCGGTTTAGGATGCCAACAGATGAGGAGAAGTGTTGGGAGGGGTCGGATGGTGGGGAGAGGTATGTGGGGGTTGATTGGTTTGAGGAATTGGTGGATGATGAGGTGGATTTGTTCGGTTTTAGGAATACTCTTAGGCACATTGCGAGGAGGCATCAAAGGGATGATGAGGGGATAATGGAAGAAAATATTGCTAGAGGGAGTGAGGGGAATCTGCTCTCCCCAACACAAACTGGGGAAGTGGAGAGAGAGGAGGGAATTTTGGAGAGGGAGAATAGTGTGGAGACTCTGTTGAGTTGGCCAAGGGGGCTAGTGGAGGAAGGAAGTGGTGGTGGACGGAATGATGATGTGCTGTTGTGACAATTTGAAGGTTTGGAGGGGTGTTACGGGTTTTGTTCTGTTTTAGCAAAGTTAAAGGTATAATTTTTGAAGCTCTTTTGCCATTCTCATCTTTTACAAAATTACATTGCTTTGTGTTGGAGGTGATTGGTTTGTCATTTACATTTATGTAAATAGCTTGCTTTATTTCTTTGGAAAGCCATGTGATGTTGGAAGTGCTATGCTTGCAGATTCTTGTACTCCTACTGGATAATAAGATAAAATGCTGCATAAGAACAATGATTATTGATTCACAAGATTTAGGTTTTCGTAGGTTTATTTTCAGGGAGTCGAGCAGTATTAGAAGTACCATGCACATTGAAACTGCTCACAATAGTCTTGATTTTAGTGGATAGCTTACAATGTCTTAGTGCTAAATTCAGCTAAAAAAAGAAGCTAATTGCCTTAAACTTGTATGGAAATTAATCCGGTTCTTTTGAAGTCGTGATCTCCTTAACATTGTAAAAGAGTGTGAACTGTGTGATCAAGAAGTGAATTAACTTGATTTTTGACCTTTAATTTGGATATGATATTCTGTCATATTTGTGTTTCAGAGCCCTATTTATGGCCTGATGGGCTGACTACTTGTTTGGCTTAATACCTACCGCATCTTTGGCAAAGAATTTTGTTTGTCCATGAGTAATTTTGGGTACTTCAAAGTTGTTTCTGTTGGTATGTGCACTAGTTATTAACTCTTGGCTGCATTTGAGATGTTGTGCAGATCAAGTTTTAAGTGGACAGAACATAGAAAATTGATGCATCAGCGAACTCCTAGAAATAATTGTTACGAGATATTGCTATTTAGCCCCCAGTCTAGGTAGCGTTGATGTGACATTAATTGATAGGTTATTTAATTTCATCCTTCATTTAGCCTCTCATGTAGCGCCACCTAGATTGAGATTGTAACCCCAGTGAGTCTACATTACATTACTCTTAAATATAATTCACTGTCAATGTCGACATTGCGTGTAATCAATGTTTGTGTAACGACCCAAAACTTACCATTTGAGTCGTCAAAAAATATATATTGTAAAAATAGAACTTTCATAAAAGATAATTATCCCAAAAGTTACAAAAATTTAAAATAAAACATTTTCTTAATCATAAAATTTATTTTTTTAAAAAATTCATAAATTATCTCATCTTTATTATACCACCAGTGGCCAGTTCCAAATTTCAATGTCTCAAACCTCAATTACCTAAAAGGGGAAAAATCATAAATAATAAGATAAAATCACATATGTGAGCCACATAAATCGTAATTTATATTTAAAATTTAGGAATTCTTTACTTAAATAGGGAGTTATGTGGATTAGTAACCGTACTTAATCATATTTACTTCGACAAGACTTCTCCACTGCGTAATGATATCAAAATTGACCCATGTGTATCCAATTAAGGCATTGCAAATTTGCAACTCATAAATATGAAATAACGAGGTTCTACCGGTTTTCCATCTAGTTTGAATGACGTACTATTGAGTTATTGGTCTAATATTTGATTTTCATTGTTTAACAAGGGAAAAATGTGTTCATTTGAAAATTTCTTAAATTCCAAAATAGATTTGTACTTAAAGAGAGAAATATTGAAATATTACGGTGAGTGACTTTTCCTTTACGAGCTTATTTTCCAAATTTAAAGTCTAAAGAAGTTGGAGCATTAGGATTTCTTAAAAGAAAAGGCGGAGGAGTCCACTAGCCTGGATTTTAAACCACGTTGAGGAAGCAGCGAACTTTCCTAGAGAAAGAGTCAAAATTGAAAGAAAGCATAAAAACAATTCAACATGTGATTGCATGTCATGCGTGTCGGACTCCCATCAATGTGGGAATATGATGGCGATGGGTCGAATACTCAGGTCCACAATAATTCTTAGGTGAAAGGAGGTTCTAAACAAAAATTAAAGTTATTAATGAAAAAATTATGAACTTTTGGAGGGGTAAACATATATGAGTAATATGTAATAGGCTAATGCCAGTCATAAGAACTTGAGCTATTGAAGATTTAAAAGAAAATGGCCCTGGTTTATAAAGATATATAAATATTGAGTTGGTCACTTGGATAGAGTTTAATATCCAGTATGTTGTAAAGTGTTCATTTGAAGGAACTGTGTTGATGGTAGGAGAGGGTTTTTATGTCTAATAGTTATCTTTTGGATCTTGTGATCTGATGAGAATTTCAATTAAAAATGTTGAACTACAAGGTGAAGAGCAACTTATTTGATGTGGTCTAATTTACTATCAAAGTAACCCAAGATCTGCGGCTCTAGTCTCCCTACCACCCATTTATGGGAATTGTTGACATGTCAGGCCTCTGCTGAGAAACAGCTCTTGCTCAACATGAGAGCACATTGACAAAATTTAGTGATAAAATGCAGGGCAGCGGTAGCATCAATTGCTGCTTAGAGAGGCATTTGGGTGTTCATGCTACTAACCTATGTGGGTTGTGAGGCGTGTTGGGCTGCTAGCAATCCTGAATGCTTGAGGCAGAGCAATAGTGCGCCCTGCAATTGAGTACGAAGTGAATGGACCCCAAGTTGAGGGAAAGTATGGCAAGCAGCTAGGTAGCGGGTCTAACGATTGCGGCCATGGCCATCGTTTAGACTCAAGATTGATTGAGGTGAGATGGAGCTAGGAAAAGTTTGGAGTGCTGTGCATTAGTGGAAAGTAGATCCTCAAAAGACTTATAGAGTTGGATGTGAAGATGGGGGAAAGCTAGGAAAAGTTTGGAGTGCTGTGCATTAGGGGGGGGAGGGACAGAGAGACGGAGAACATTCTGAAGATGGGGGAAAGCTTTTGGAAAATGGATGGATGAGAGTCTCATGGGGTGGGGATGGGGCCAATCAAATAAAATTAAATAACCCATTTCCAACGGATTTATTGGGTCAAGTTATAGGAATAAGCTAATCCAATAACCAGTTCTTGTTTAGTTATCAGGTTATAGGAATTTGGGAATTTAAAACAAAATGGTAAAATTAAAAATGCATTTATTTAACAATATTTTAATCTATGTCTCCAATGTGTCTGTATGTGTTAAATGCTTCTTTGTTGCATATTAATGTTCTTGTTTGCTGCAACTCAAAGATATCAGGAACATTTGAGACCGAAAAGTTAATATATTACAACTTCCTGAGGAGTGGGTCATAATTCTTAAGTCCTAAGATGCAGGTTCAAACATTTTTTTAGCACTATCGCTATCTTGAAATTGGAGGTGACCTGGCTGATTGTGTTTAGTATGTGGTAACAAATGGTGAACTTTATTCTTCCTTTGGGGCTGATCAGTTTCGTTTTAGGTTTACTTTTTGTCGAATAGTGTTATTTGATTCATGCAAATGGCGTTGTTATGATAGGCTGACCTGCTTCTCTCCCTTGTAATGATTGAGTTAAATTAGTCTTAATTGCTTTTGCTTGAAAGGTGTCGAGGTGGAATTTGGGTTGCGATGTTTATCACCTATTGAGGCCACTTGGATTGTCACAAGATTATTTAGTCATATGGGTACGGCATAAAGCTTCTGTCATCGGCATTACAATGTTGTGGTCTTTTTAGTGAAAAAGGTTTTCTGTTGAGGTTAAAACTTATTACTTTTCCTTTTGTGCATCAATTGATACTGAAACAGATCATCTGAGAGTGGAAGTAAAGCTGGAGTAGAACTCTTAAGAAAGTTTATGCACCACTATGATCTTATATAGTTCTCAAGGAAATTAATACCTCTTTGCCTCTATGGTTATAACTTGTGTGCATATTCTGATTTTTTTTCTGATTTAAATAAAGAAGTGTGACTAGCAGGATGACTGAGAAATCTAATGCTTATAGTTCACTATCAGATTTTTCATTTTTTTCGTTAGGTCAGAGTGGATATCTAAAAAAATATTATCAATCTGACACTGATCTGTAGATAATGTCATTTTGTCCTGTCGAATCGTGTAACTTAGATTTTGAGTTTTGCCGATTCCTTTGTGTTTACAGGTGATGTATAGTCGTCAAGGTTACACAAGGGGTATTGTATCACCAATAATGGTTCTGCCAAGTGTAAATTTAGCCATGGATGACCATGTTTCTGTTTGATTACAGAAAAGTGCAAGTATTGGCTTCTTTTTTTCATTTCTGCCCCTTCATTGGCTTAAAGCAAATCAATTCTTGTAATTTGTGAACTTTATGCTATAAATTTTGGTAAGCAATGATCTAATAATGTGCTTACTATGTTATGATTTCAGTGCTTTTGTGATACTATCATTGTTTTTCATCAATGGCCAATTAGTATCAAGACTTGAGGAACTTGCTCACATGGAAATAAGTTGCATTGAACAGTTAGATTCTTAGTTGAGTATCTTCGACCATAAGAAGCTGGGAAGTGGCAAGTTTTGCCGATTCTGTCTGTTACTTGGATGCCTAGAAACTTGAAAACAGCCTGTCAAGTGGCGGCACAAGGTTTAGCCTGTTTGACAATATGTTCTGGACCGTTGCTCTAGTTCTGCATAATAAAACCTTGTAGCCCAACTTGGTTATGGCCCAGTATGATTTCCAACACCAGTTAGTCGACACCGAATAACAAAAGAAAATGAGTAGCCGAATTAAGTCTCTGTTTGACAACTATTATTTGAAAACCTTTTTTTTATTCATACTCATTTTCAATTATACATTCACACAATAAAATATTTTGCACGAAAACCCAAATTTTTTTCTACTTTTCAACCACACATTCTCATAAAAAAAAACTATTCAAATATTATTTTTCTAGTAAAATAGAACAATTTTATGTTAATTAAACTATTTTTATTTTTTTTTTTATTCTTTTGAGTTATTTAGAATTTTATTTTTTTCAAAATTTTTATTTCTTATTTTGTTAGAATTAATTTTTTTTTTTTTTAGAATTTCATATTTTATCCCAAAATTTTATTCTTTTTATTTTTTAGAATTTATCATTTTTTTTTCTTTTTATTGTTTTAAACTTTTAGAATTTTATTTTTAAAATTTTATTTCACAAGTGTTTTCAATTTTTTTACTAAAAACATCAAAAATAAGTTTAAAATTTTATGTCATAAGTTTAACCTTATTTTAGAAAATGCATTCTCAAATATACCAAATCAAATAATTTTAAGAATTTGAAAATTAAAAATAATTTGAAAATAACAAGCTAAACACACCCTTAATTTGTTTTGACAACTAACCGGTTTAACCATTTAACAACCTTTTTTATCAATGTCTGGACCAACTTTATAAGCATATTGATCTTTTGCTATGGGTTCAAATTTTCAAAAGTCGGGTTAGAATTAGAGTTTGTCAGTTTGCTGTTGACTGTAATCAAATTTCATGAAGTAAAATATCATCAAACAATTTTTCAAAATTTCAAATCGAACATATTTTCTAATTTTTTAATTTGAGGAACATTTTTTCCATAATGACAAACCACGTGTATTTTAAAGTTGCACGACATGTTTAGCGTGTTATATTAGAATATTATGAAGAAAGAAAAATGAATTACAATTTTTGTCAAACGTCCTGCTTAATTAGCCCCATGTTTTGACAACCATTAAAATAAGACTTCTTTTTCTCAAATTCATTTTTCATAGCACATTTTCATAATAAAATATTTTGCACGTGAATTCAAAAAAAATTTCTTACTTATCAATCACACATTTTTCTAAAATTCACTATTTCAAAAATCATTTTTCTCAAATAAAATAAAATAAAATAAATAATAAATAAATAATGATTTCATCAGACAAGGGTTTAATTATTCCAGAGTTTAAGAAAAAAGTATTGATGTGATGAAAAATATTATTTTATTGAAAAATGTGTAGTTAAAAATGAGTTTTGAAATAATGTGTACCAAACATGGACTTACTATTGTAATAGGGGCGCGCCACATGGCGTCGGTCCCCAAACCCTGTTTCTTTAGCTTTTCCCATTTTAAAGTTGCACGACAAGTTTAGCGTGTTATATTAGAATATTATGAAGAAAGAAAAATGAATTATAATTTTTGTCCAACGTCCTGCTTAATTAGCCCCATGTTTTGACAACCATTAAAATAATTCTTTTTCTCAAATTCATTTTTCATTGCACATTTTCATAATAAAATATTTTGTACGTGAATTTAAAAAAAAAAATTCTTACTCATCAATCACACATTTTTCAAAAATTCACTATTTCAAAAATCATTTTTCTCAAAAAAATAAAATAAAATAAATAATGATTTCATCAGACAAGGGCTTAATTACTCCAGAGTTTAAGAATTTCCATGATGTAATGCCATACTTATTGCTGCTAGACAATTAGGGTGTGTTTGATGGATATTATTGGTGAAACTTACATAAAATTTATCACTATACTACCCTTTATACATCAATTTTTCATTCTATTTTAATAACTATACTACTTTTTATAATAAAATAACTTTTTACACATCAATTTTTACTCAAAACTTTATTACACATGGTTTGTACCTGAATGATAACATTAACCACTTGCCTTTCCACTTTACAACACAACCAAATTTCATTCTAAACAACTACTCTTTTCGCAATCATCCGTATTTCTTTAAACAATCTAGCAAGGATTTATTTTAATTTGTGGATGGTATTTTAATTTTAAGATATTCACTAAAATACTCTCTCTTTACAACTTTTTTTATTTTATTTTATTTCCTTCAATACTTCTACACACACTGGTTTTCTACACGACATACCTCAGGCAAAATGGATATCCCAACTTAATTATGTGCATTGGTTTTAATTTTATGAAGAAAATATATTCCATCACTACTTCCAAAAGGAAAAAGAAAAAAAAATCGCTTATAATTAAGTAACTTTTTTTGCCGTAAAAACTATTTAATGATTATTTCCTCGAAAAAGGGTTGTCAAGACTTTGAACCCAAAAAATTTCGTCATACAAGTGACATACATGCTTATCCATTAATATAGTCGACAGATTAGTTTATTTTGGGCACTAAAAAAATAAAGCGTGTTGCACCATGAGTACAGCTGATTTGTTTGTGCAAATTGTAGGTTTGAAGTTGATTTAAATTAGATATATAAATATAAGAGTAATAAATTAGTTTTTTTTCCAGCTTTTGATTATGATATGTACAGTAAATATGGCAGAATTATATATTTAGCCAATGTCCATCAAAAAGAGTTTTTTCTTTTTGAAAAAATGAGTTTCGAAATAGTAATTTTTGGATAATATTGAAAATAAAAAGTACGATTTTTTAAAAATGTGTCGTATATTGTTAGAATGTATGATCGAAAATGAGCTTTTAAGAAAAATTGGATTATGGTTGACAAACAGAAGTTTGCAAATGGACAAGTATACTATCTTATCATCATTTCCAAAAGACAAGCTTGTTTTATTCTCTCTCCCCATAGTTGGACTTTTTGTTGTTCCTGTACGAGATATTACACCAATAATGTGCATATTATATTTATCAAGAGCATGCCGTTAATATGCGTGAAATCGAAACATCATTCGACTTACCGAAATCTGATTTGAGAAGATAAAATAACGATTTACCGACTTCGAATATAATAATATGAATTCTTCACTTCCCAATATGAGTGAACGCATATTGTTTTTCAATTCAAACCCTTTAATAAAACACATAAATAAATTAACCATATTCTAAAATCAAGCATAAATAAAATCAGAAATGAGAAAGATGAAATGCAAGTGATGCGATCGGTCGAGGCAAGTGTTTGACACTTTTTCCTTAAGATGAATTTGCCCCGCATCGGTGCTAACGGTTTCTCGGCAATCATCTCCCAAGATACAACGACCACGTCAAGCCATAGGAGCACTCCAAATGACTTAGACCAACGAACTCGAACGGAGTTCCCTCTCTACCATAACCATGATTTTGATGCAAGAGAAAATCACTTCTATAAAGTGTTTTATGCAAAACTAAAGTAACCATGATATGAAACTATCAAATGAATTGTTTGTTGTGTAGTTAATCCAAACACATAGGGAATCCATATATATAGTAGTTGGAACATCCATACCAAGAGACACATCTCTTGAATAATCATAATTATTGGAAGTTACTCATACCAAAAGTCATGCTCTCCAAGAGTCATGATCCATATGAAAAGACACATCTTTTCATCTACATTCTCTAGAATATTCCACAATATTCTACACAATTCCAATAATTTCAAGTATTAAGTGGTTTAAGTTTGGCTTAATTTCTCATTCACCAAACAAGGAATTTCCACTTAAATCATTTCAATTGGTCACAACCAATTTCCAATACAAAATTCCAACAATCCCCCACATGAATGAAAATTAATGCAAATGACTATGCAGACACTAGTAGAGAGAGGGCGGAAAAAACACTGCATCAGAGAAGGTAGCTTCTGGCCTTGAACCTCCCTTAGTGAAATACTATCGGACTTACTGGCTAATTGGTGAACGTGATGTCTTGAACCATTCAGCCGTTGGTGTAAGCCGAGACAACAGTACTCACACAATGTCTTCCCTAAACCGTTCATGGTTCTCACGGTTGTGTCCATTTTGGTCATGGATCACTCTTGGTTTCATAAGTGTTTAGAGAATTTTAGCCTCGAACAATTCTCATTGAAGCGGCCCCACTTCACACTTACATAGGTGATCTCCTATTAAGAGTATTCTGCCATACTCCACTTGACTGAATCAAGCTATAGGAATCATTAAAAGAGTATCTTAACCTTCAATCATTCAGCAGAAAGCACTTTAATTATCATAGGAATGAGTAGGAATAATTTCCTAAGTGCTTCATGGAATCTTCATAACTTAGTTGTCCCTTTGAACCAAGATCTTGGGATCTCCAGTCAACAAGGTAGGGTTACCATTACAAAGACTCTTACGTCGTAGGCTTTAATCTCATTCCCCTCGATATGCAGTATTCTTGATCTCTCGGTAAATCTCTAAAGGTACCACGAATTTACACCATTGAGATCGACTGCTTAACGGTATTATGTCTACGTCTAGACTTACCATTACATGTGACTTAGTATCTCATCAAATATAGCTAGCCAACGATCAATTGATTTAATAGATACAACATGTCACCACCAAGAAATCCTCTCATG